AATTTCTAAAATCATAATCTTTTAGGTAATTTTATTTTTTATATATTTTCTCGTGATCTCTATGGCTCTGATACCAACTGTGCGGGTGCTACTATGAGCGAACAAAAATCTAATAATCTAAAAATCTAATAATCATGAATCTAAAATTTTTATATTCCAAAAACTCTTTTATTTTTACTATTAGGTGTAAATAAAATCTTAAGATAAAGACTAATTTTTTGTATGTTTGTGGTAATTTATTTTTTATTAGCCTTCTTATAAATTTTTAAGTAATTTTTCAAAGTCTAATAATGTTTGAGAATTTATAATATCAATATCTGTTATCATATATATATCTGTTCTAAAAGGTATATCATATTTTGAAATATTTTTCTTCCTTTTTTCCAATTTATCTATGATATCTTGTATATCTTTTATAATTATTGTTCTTACAATTCCTTTAGCAAAATTTTCTAATAAGTTTTCTTTGAAACATTTTAATATTTCTTGTGATGCATATAATTGTTCTTGATATCCTATCTTCTCAATTTCTTTTTCAAACTTAATTTCTTTTTTATTTTTAACAACCTTTTTTATATTATATGGTCCTCTCTTATATTTGGGTTTTTCTATTTTATAATTAGTCATTAATAATTCTCACAAATTTTTAGAAAAATTATTTGTTAATTATTTAAGGACTTAAATAGAAGATTTATATTAGATAAAGGGTTGTTTTTTAATATTTGTTTAAGGGTGTTTTAGGTAGTGCAAAATGTTTAGAAAAATCAAAAGCTATTTTGGAAAATCCTTCCTTTATTTAGGTCAATTTGAGGTATTTCCCATTTAAATTTGACAGAAAAAGAAAAAGAAAAAAATACAATGTACGAAAGTAAGCTACACTTGTGGACGCTCCACTTTTATGTGGTTTTTTTTTAATTGAATATGTAATTTTCTCTAAAATATAATTAACAGTGCGTTAAATAGTCCATCAACTTTCTCTTCTCTACTATTGTTCCTAATACTTCCCTCACCTCTTCATAAGCCCACTTCTTAACCTCAACAAACTCTTAAAAAGAATAATGTCATCTGATATCAGTGGTGTTAGAGCACCCGTCTAAATTGTCATACGTGATGATGTTATATTTAAATGAATCTATTATTAATGACATCTAATTGTCATCTAGACGGTACTTAGTACCAATGGAGGTAAACAGCATTACTCTTTGAAAAATCTCCCACTTTAGTCACACATTTGGATTTTCATTGAAGTTTATAAGATAATCATTATGACACCTCTTGATGTTATATCCTTTTCGAAGTCTTGATTGCTTAAATTTCAATGAAATGTCCACTATTGGTACAAAAGCCTCCACTTCATTGGAAGAGGGCAAACCATTAGCCAATTCATTATCCTGCAAAACAAGCTCAAGTGCACGTCCATAAGAAGTATCCTCAACCTTAAAATTATTGAAAAATGCTTGAGGTACATTGTGGTGTCCAAAATGGACACCCAACGTCGAGGCGCCTGTGGGCCCAGGTGTGGCAGGCTCCTCGACCAATGTTGAGGCACCGAGTGTCCATTTTGGTGTGTCCAAAATGGACACCACAATATACTCATAGCACTGTCGAAAATTGCACGCTGTAAAGGATGAACTTAGATAAGGTATTATTTCGCTGTGGGTCCATTATTTTTTACTTTACTGTTCGAAATTTCAAGCATTGAGTGATCGAGGTTTTCTTGCCATTTTTTATGGAATTTATTGTTGTTTTCCACGAAATTTTGTGTCAAATCAAAATAATTCCTCCATTTATTAGAAAGCTCGATGACGAGACACCCACATATGATTTGAACATTGTCCATTCATGATCACTGTTTTCTCCTCGTTAATTTTGTTGCCTATGGAATTAAATATTGGAACTTTATTGGAATGGAAAATGGGAAAAGACATTTAGCACTGCGAGGAAATTTTTTGAGGGTTCGTAGATATTCGTTTAAAATTACATGACATCGGTTGGGAATTTAAATTTTTGTGGTTTTGGTTGGGTTTTGAGCACTATATGATGTGCAGTTCATTATTGCCCCGAGTTGATCAATGTGCATTTCTTTATTTCCATACCACATTTCACTGTTCATTCCCTCATCTCTATATTCTTTTCCATGCAAGTGCAAATTCAAGCTACTTCACTGTTGAATTGCATCACAGAGGCTACTTCTATGCTAAGCCAAGAAAATTGACATACGAAAATGGATTTGTGATTTTCTTTGATTTTTTTCATGCCTATTTGACAAAGTTCTTAAATGCGGCTGGTAATACTTTGATGTTGAAGTTTTACTACAAAAATGAAAAATGAGTTTGGGGAAGGGGTTGACTAGAATGAAAAATGAGGAGGGTATTAAAGAAATATTTTGGGATAGAGATGGGCATCTAGTAGTGCAGATATATGTTGTAGCCACATTGCAATTGCATGCATTGCCATTGTCTTTGGGATGCAGCCAAAGCCACTACTGTACCACAATGGCTTGAAGACATGCAAAAGACGTTTGACTTGGAACTGATTGCGTATGGTTTGCTTGAATCAAAACTAGCATCTCATTGGAGCAAATCCCACTTAAGAGAGTAGACTCAACGTGACATGCTTTTGAACAATTTGTGTAAATCATTCAATAGCACAATTGTCACGACAAGAGAGAAGCCCATTCTAACCATACTTGAGGAGGTTAGGTTGTATTTCATGAAGAGAATTGAAGCTCGTAGAGAATTAGTTGATAGATGGACATCAGCAATAGGCCTTAGAATCCAAAATATTCTCGATAAGAACGGTAAACTGTCAAGATTTGAGTGGGCTGAATATGCAGGAAAGAGAAGTTACGAGTTCGGCATAATGCAGGCATTGTATTACATGCTATTGACCTCAGGGCAAGAACTTGTATATATTGTGCTTGGCAGTTATCAGAAATCCCTTGTTGCCATATGATTGCCTCGATGGTATCTTGAGGCCTTAGTATAAGTTGGAATCTTCAAGTTAGAGGAAGAAGTCCAGAAAGTCTTCTCAAAATGAAATCCCTTCGAAGACAACTTTAGCCAGATAGTTATATGATTGCCTCTCTAGAGGCCGAAGTATAATTATTTATGTACATGGCTTAGTCTAAGTCTTCATCCACTCAAACCACCTATGTACACCAAAAGTTTTGGGAGGCCCAAAAAAATAGAAGAAAAGAGCAAAACAAGGTGGAATCTTCAAGTCAAGGGAAGAAGTCCAAAAAGTCTTCTCAAAATGAAATCCCTTCGAAGACAACTTTAGCAGGCATATATGGTGCAGGGAAAAGAGCAACTCAAACTCAGACATGTCGAAAATGTGGTGAACCAGGACAAAATAGGAGGAGCTGCAAAGGGGCACCACCACCAGTAAGCAATTATAGACAGTCTGTTTACTTTTTTGGTTTTTGTTCAATGCATTTGTAATGCCAACTTGAAAATGTTGTTGAATTAAATTTATTTTCTTTATGTGTTTGAATGTCAACGGTATAATTTGCCTATTTTAGATGCAAATTTAGTTCACTCTTAATTCTGTTGCTGTTTCACTCTTAATTCTATTACTGTTTTAAATTTGTCGTTTAATGTATGTTGAATTGCCATGATTGATTAGTGTCTTGAGTTGCTATGGTTGATTAAGATCATTCTGTTTCTGTGAATGAAAAGATGCCTACGGGATATGATGGGGACAGTTCTCACAGAAATTTGAAACGCAAGGACATGAGCAAAAATTGTCAAAACTTAGGGACGTTTTGAGCAAGAAACATTTGAAATGTTGGGATGTTTTAGTTTCAATGTTAGGATGTTATATGCAAAACGTTTTGTAACGTAGGGATGTTTTTCACATTTTCAAATTTGGGGAAAAATAAATTTACAACTTTTGCTTTTGATGCAGAATTCTAGGACTATGATTTGTGATTTTGGAAATCGGTTTGCTGTGGATAGTAATGGTGGATGAGAGTAGGTGTGGAAGCCAAAATTCAATTTTTAATAATGCACGTCAATCATGGTGACGATAAATAGTGGACTTTCGTAAATATAGCTGCTATGGTGATGATGAACAATGGTCGTTTGATTTGATTAATCTTTTTCTTTTCCTTTTTTGAGAATAACCTGTTTTATGGCTAGAAGAAGAGATTTTGAAGTGATCTGACTTTTTTGCCCTTCCAATTTCAAATTAAAAAGCAAGTCCAGCTGTGCATTTAATGGTGGAATTCATAGCAAATGGGCGAAAGAACAATTTCCACAATGAAACGTTCAAATAAGGGGGAAAATGCACACACACCAAAAAAAAAAATAATAATAATAAATTGAAATGTATGGACCTTTTGTACACTAAAGATCAAACATATGGACTTTTAGAGCTAATAAGCCAAAATAAAAATCATGAGTGGCTCCTTGAAAACAACCTATGATTACTGGGAATTTACCTGACAAACAATACCAATAGATATTATTAAGAAAAAGAAATAACATTTTTCATAATAAACACCATAAGTTGGACAAGAAATAACATTTTTCATAATAAACACCACAGTTATATCACTTAAACAATCATTGAATCGTTAATAGGGACTAACAGAATAAATAATATAAAGTCTAGTGACGAAATATAGAATTTAGAGACCATTTAAAAATAAATCTATAAGTTGGGGAACCAATTTTTGAATAACATGTTAGCCTCGGAAGAATTTATAAAAATAAAAATTAGTCGTGAATAAGTAAATAGTATTTATATGTTCATTAAAATGTGTAATTAAAAATAAAATTTGATCACTTATAGATCAAAATCTTAATAAATATGTAGCCAAACAACTTATGGGAGGATATGGAATGGAATGAACAAAGGTCTCTTGTCCCATTATTTGCCCAAGGTACCAATCTTGTCTTTCCCTGTGCATTAAACACGTGGAAATAATATTTTTGTTAGGATTTTATAAAGGATTTTGCTAGATTTACATTACATTGTCCATAAAGCCATCCATAATACTGAGGCGGCGAGAAATTGGACATCCCACATTTTGAACTCAATTTCTCGCAGCCAAAAAAAGATCGGGATGCCTGAAAAACAGAACCCTCAATTTCGAACCCAAACCCTACCCATTATTTCTCTTTCTCTCCCCATTCGACCATTCCCACTCCCTCTCTTCTCTGCACAGAACCTTCGAACCCGACCTTCAAACCCACCCAAAAACCTTCCTTCATCCTTCCATTTGAAGCTCCTCCGGTTGACGGCAATCGAAGGAGAAGCGCATAGGTACGGCGAGCGACCAATGGACGGACCATCAGACCAGTACTTCGAATTTTTCAATGTGCTTGTCGAGGAATTGGAAGGCGTCGGTCCAACTGGTAATGTATAGCGTCGCCCAACTTCTTACTGTGTTATATGAAGTTTAAATTGTATGTATTTTACGTAAGTTCCTCCGCCCAATGCGTGTGAAGGTCGTAACATCTAAGATAATTGTAAAGAAAATGTTGATTCTTGATTCAGTTGGTTAAACTCATTAGTTGGATCAGTTAGTGAGTTAGAAAAATCAGTTAGGAGCCTTTGGTTCTAACAGATTTTCTGGTAGTTGTTTTAGCTGAATCATACATACATATTCTTGTAAATCTCTACACTCCTTTGCCTATAAATAGGATAGAGGGCTGATACGTGAAAGGATGTGAGCAAGAGAATGTGGGGAACACATTCTATAGTAAGAGAAAGTGAGATTGAGAGAGAAAATTCTCTGCAACAAGTCTCTGTAACTCTCTGTGATTTTCTTACTGGTGAGGCCTGATGAGTGCTGGTGAGTGGTGTTGTTTTGTGTAAAACAATTACTATGTAATATTCCTCTTGAATGGCAGATTGACTAGGGGTTAAATCCCTGCAAGTTGGTTGATGAAACTTGTTCCAGAAAACAAGCAATTTTTGTGTCCATTAATCTGATTCTTTCCTAGTTTATGTTATGCCAGATCTGGGGTTTTTTTGCTATCAATGCAAATCTGTGAATGATCATTATTCCTGGGACATGGGAGATGGTAAAAATGCTAATAAGAATTTTAACATATCTATAGCATATCTTGCATGTGAAGTTGGTGGATAAATTGAAGTAATTGTTCTTGCAATTATATTAAGCAATGGCAGGAAGTGTCCTAAATTGAAGTAATTATTCTTGCAGTTATATTAAGGAAGGCAGTGCAGTGGCGTTTGCATTGGAACTCCATCAACCTACTTTGGGCCACAACAACATTAGGCAAAAGCACCGATTGACAACTTGTTGAAGCGCGCTGCTGAATTAAAGATAGAAGACAACGTGGAGATATCACTTGCATTAACTATCGGAAGGGAAAAGGGAAAGCATACGGAGAACGATGGGAAGGGAAAGCATATGGAGTAGCATTTGAACTTATGTCTATGTACTCCTTATGTTTGTGTTTGTCAATGAGTCGCATTCGATCTTATGGTTATGTAGTACAGAGTAACATTCAAACTTCTGTTTATGTAGTATTTATGTTTGGGAAGAACTCATTATTTGTCAAGTTTTTACTTTGGTTTACTATCCAGGAAGCTTTAAAAATGAATTCTAATGAGTTTATGTTGACGTAACTTATGTTTATGTGACTTGTTTCTGAAGTGGAAGAAGGTCTAGACATGGCATTTTTCCTTTAATCCCAGCATCATTTTCCACTTGATTCTTCTTTCCTTCAGCATTTTAGGACTCAAAGAATCAGTATCAAAATCCTACTTAACCAGAACCATGCATTTCTCGACACACTTTTACAGAATCAGCACCAACACCCTTGTAACAATCTTCGAAAAATTCAACTTAAAAATGAACAGCACCTAAACCCAAAATCAGGAGTCACCAGCTTTGAGAAATTGTAATGAGCAGCACCTAAACCCGAAATCAGCTCACTGGAATCTTTGAAAGAAAAAAATGACTCATAACATGGTTGTAGTAACATTAACAACACATCTTAAAATCGTATAAACAAAAAATAAAATTCGGTAGCCTTCATATTAACAAAATAAGCCAAGTCAATTTGGCAACCTTCATATTAACAAAAGCAAAAAAGATTACATCCCGTAAACAAAAAATTAGATTCGACGGCCTTATATTAACAAAATAAGTCAAATCTATTTGGCAACCCTTCATATTAACAAAAGCAAAAAAGATTACATCCCATAAACAAAAAATCAGATTCGGCAGCCTTATATTAACTAAATAAGCCAAATCGATTTGGCAACCCTTCATATGAACAAAAGCAAAAAAAATTACATCCCATAAACAAAAAATAAGATTCCGCACCCTTCATATCCCTAGCTTTGCATGCTCTCCTGCATCCCAAAAATCAGTTTTGCGTGCTCCCTTGTGTCCCAAAATGATGTGACACGTGCGAAGATGACACGTTATGAACTTGTGCATCCTCAAACATACTAGTGTTTGCGACATCGGAGTTGACAAGAGCCTGCACATGATTCAAGAAAAAATGTTAGTTCAACTTAATTCAATGCAGTACATAATTTGCAAGCGGATAGTTATAAGGACCCAAAATTTATACCTTTTTGCGACCCTTTGATTTCTTCGAATGTGTCTCCAATGGACTTTTTTCGCACATCTTTTATGGTGCACCCTTTCGTTTGGTGAACTTTGGATCTAGAATTTGTATGTTTGCATCATTCGTATCTTCAAATCCATGCATTTCAATGCTATTACATTTTGATAAAGCCAATTCGTTTGTTTGGAATTCAATCCACCGCAAGAGATTCTTCGATCGTTCCTCATTTCTCGCTACCAAGTCAGCCATCTTCGTAAATGCAGCACAAAACTGCTCATACCTCACTTGTTTAGCAGTACAAACCAAACCATCATACGTGGTTGGGACCCGCATGTATTGTTTACTAACATCTCTCCTCCACCGCCTCATAACATACTTTTCAGGCAACAATGACACATCATTTCGTACTAGCACTGAGATGGCATGCTTGCAAATGATTCCTCGAAACTCAAACAAACGACAGTTGCACTCAACCTCACAACTATCTCTACGAAAACAAACTGTAAACATTTTTTTCTTCATCCCTCCATTGCTCTTGATATCCTCTCGCACCTGATACTTTGTTAATCCATAAAAGTCTTCAGCAGATAAAATGTCACAGTACACCTTGCATGTGAACTCCTGTTGGAATTCCCTAAATTTTGTGATAGAATACACTTCTTGAAACTATTTCTCCATATCATACATAGTAACCCATGGAACCATTTGTGAGAATGATCTAAAATCAGCTAGAAATTCCTTCTGTACTTTAGTTCTCAATTGCATTTTGCATTGTCCGATCTTGGTCCGTAATGATGCCATCGGGAACCTTGTCATTCATGCATTCAAGCCATGTCCTAAATAACCAAACAAACGTGTTTGTATCTTCATTTGAAACCAACCCATAACCTAATAAAGTTGATTGCCCATGGTGATTTATGCCTACAAAAGGAGCGAACGGCATATCGTACTTGTTAGTAAGTTATATGGTGTCAAAAGTCACGACATCACCAAATTCCTTATACGCTTCTCTACTTCTATTATCTGCCCAAAACACGTTTCTCAACCTACACTCTTCATCCAAGTCCATACTAAAAAAAAAAAAAAAAAAACCAGGACTACGTGCTTGCATTTTCGAGAAATATGCTTGTATTGCAGTGGCGTCCCCTTCACCAAGTCTTAAACGCCGCACTTTATTAATGAAATTTCTGCAATCCTTCTCAACAAATGTCATGATATCGAAACCCCCCGCCTCCACTACAGCTGAATTATAGCTTTTATGCATAGGGATTCCTGCTATGTCATTCACCTCAAGTCGTCTTTTAATATGTTCACTAAGTTGTCGATTGCATCTATACAATCTAGACTTAGACGGGCTTGTTTTATGGTTGTGCTCTAAATGTACAACATTTATTCTAAATATTCCACGGGTATCATAACATGCAGTTAACCTCGCTTTACACCCTATCTCAATGGTTGGTGTAGGATTCAAAGATGTTTGGTTGCTACGGCTTCATTGACTTTCTCGACTACAAGTAAAACTCACATACTGTACCATCCCATCATCTCCCCTCTTCGTGTTTCGTTTTCTAACAGGAAACCCTACTTGGTAAGCATATTTTTTGTAGAATTCAAATACCTCTATCTCATCCGCAAATTTCATACCAACCTCACGCACAATAATCTCATTTTCAACACCTAACATTTTCCCTTCCAAACCATTGTCGCCTATAAAATCAGATATAACCTCCACTCCTACAAGAAAACCACAAACTCAAATGAATTAACAACATGCAGTTTTTTTTTATTTACATCACTCAGCAGAAAAACAACAGGGTAATACATATCAAATTACAGGCAACACCAAACAATGTTACGACATTCAAAACTACCTTAGATGCACATAGGTAATCAATCCACATTTTCTACAAGTAAACACGAAAATCAGAAGTAGATAGCATTCCGCACACACACACACACACAAAAATGAGAATTATAATGAGATCAAAAAATCATAGAATATGCTTCACAAATAATTAACTTTACTTTTTGCCTTGAGCTCTCAAGCCCCCTCCCTCCCAATTAACCTTCCAACAAACAGAGTTTGTTGCAACTATTATGAATTCATTACCAGAACTATTCATTAGAACATAACTTGCTATTAATACAAAAGAATGATCCCAATAGTATCAACATAGCACCTCAAATTCCAAATTTATCTGACGCATAAAATCAAAGGAAACAACAGAAACGAAAACTTCAAAGATTACTATGAGCAGCATACCATCGCAGGGAATCTTGTCAGCCGTGTAGTTGGACATATTACGTGAATCTCCTTCAATATGGGCCTCCTTCTCTGCATTGGGCGGAGGAACTTACGTGAAATACATACAATTTAAATTCCATATAATACAGTAAGAAGTTGGGCGACGCTATACATTACCAGTTGGATCGGCGAAGCCTTCCAATTCCTCAACGAGCACATCGGAAAATTCGAAGTGCTGGTCTGATGGTCCGTCCATTGGTCGCTCGCCGTACCAATGCGCTTCTCCTTCGGTCGCCGTCAACCGGAGGAGCTTCAGATGGAAGGATGAAGGAAGGTTTTTGGGTGGGTTTGAAGGTCGGGTTCGAAGGTTCTGTGCAGAGGAGAGAGGAAGTGGGAATGGCCGAATGGGAAGGGAAAGAGAAATAATGGGTAGGGTTTGGGTTCAAAATTGGGGGTTTTGTTTTTCAGGCTTCCCAATCTTCTTTTGGCTGCGAGAAATTGAGTTCAAAATGTGGGATGCCCAATTTCTCGCCACCTCAACATTATGGATGGCTTTATGGACAATGAAATTTACATCTAGCAAAATCCTTTTATATAGGTTGAACCCCAACCTTGAGAGCTCCCATCGTCCCGCCCCTAAAACTTTGTGAGGGAGGTAAATTGTGGAATATGTCCCAACAGATCAGGGAACAAGAGCTACCTGTATATTGCGCCTACAAGGAGTCAAATTTCATGTCTTAGGAATCGAACCCTCACACTACGGCTGTCAGCAATGCGTGAAATAATTTTTTTAGGATTTTATATTTCCATTATGATATTGACTTTGTTTGGCTAAGCAGTAAGCATGAGAATATTATAAGTTATTTGTAAATAATTTTTAGTTTTCATACAAGGTTGATTTTACTAATGGTCATTGATTTCGGACTTATCACTAAACTTTATAAATATTTAATCCAGGCCATTGATATAGTTTGACTTCCATTTTTCAATTGCAAATCCTACGTATTTGTGTGTCATGTCATCAAATTATTAGAATTTTCTGTTGAATCCTATGAATTAGCACAAAGATGTGGAGAATGTTTAGCTGAAAAATGGATGTCAAACTAAGTAGGTGGTTTGAATGAATGAATGGGAAACAAATTAAAGTGACCATTCTCATATTACTTACTTCTTTTCAACCTTTTTAAATAAAAAAATTTACTCATTTAGATAGTAACTAAATAAGTTATTTATACTTTTTCACCTAATTAATAGAAAAAGTTATTTTATTATAACAATTATTTACTTAAAAAATTTGCACACATCATTTATATTGATTTTAGTAAATCTTATAATTCATTGTCCAATTGTGATGCATTTTAATGCAAGACACTGCCACTTAAACAGAGTTTATTTACTTTATTTACGACATAGTTGAAAGTTGATCTTCATTAGTTTTGTCGGGGCTATTTACGTGAAGATATGTCTATTTTGCAGGTGGATAAAAGTGACGACCCCCGTGTTCTCAAAGGCTGCCCGGCGCTCTATGTGTGGTACATGATTCATGTCGAGTATTATGTGTCAGATATTCTGTAGATACTTATTCCATTGCGGTTTTGCATAAAAACTTCTAGCAGGTTGAACTATTTAGATACGTGATGATTTTTAATCACATTGAGGACAATTTTGATAGTTTGAAATTTTTTGCAGAATTATTTGGCATGCTCGTGAATAGGGCGACCGAACAAAAATTATAGAAGTCATGGATGCATAATAAATTGTTCATCTTGGTGTCCCAACACTAGGAGAACAAGAAAATGAGGTGATTTCTATCATATATTCCTATGCGGCATGGGCTTAATTCAAGTGTTGGGTCAATCAGCACCAAAAAAAAAAAAAAAAAAAAAAAAAAAAAAAAAACAAAGATACAAAAGTAACATGGACCACACTCTAATTCATAATTCTTTTTTTTTTCTTAAACAGATTAAATTTGTTCATACAGAAATTTTCTGTAAAGAGAACAAGAAATATTAAATTCGTAAATTTGTTTATCACCTTTCTATGTATTATTTATTTATTATTTTTTTTTTTTTGGGTTCAATATTGAAGGAAGTGTTATAGTTGAATATACATCCATTTCCATGTACTTATAAGCGTAGAGGTTAATTTTACTTAAAAGAGATTCGTTGAGTGCATACTCGATTCTTTTAATTTCGTAAATATCATCTTTCAAGAGTAAGTGCAAAGAGATGACAAATTATGCACGACCATAAAATCAACTTTTAAGTAATAAAGTCGACAATAAATTTCCTCTAAAAATTCTTATAGACTATAGTCATACAAATCACTTGCAAAATTATCTAAACATATTTTTAAGGCGACCTCTTAATCTCAGAAATAGGTTTTAACTTTGCAAAAGCCTTTCTAGACGAGCCAGTGGTTAGATTAAAAAGAAAAAAAAGGAATTTGGTGACAATCTACTCTATCTCAATGTGTACAGGGGTCTAAATTTCTTGACGAGTGAGTTTTACAAATATTAATATACTTTAGGAAGTAAGCCTCCCCACTTGCGAGCAAAGGCTATCCCGCAGAGGTGATTTCTCTAATACCACTGTTACAAATACATTACATGGCTATTGGCCACATTAGCCCCTATTCGATTTAGATAAAAATCATTTTTTTAGTAAATTTTGTTAAAGGTTAACGAAATATCTTACTTACTATAAGAGGCAATATGTCAATTACTGTTCATTCAAGACGTATTTTGAGTTTTCCTATTTTACCCTTCATTATCCCATTTCACTTCTGAAACGTAGTCCAATGGTCTTCTCTGTTTCTGTTTTTTCCCAGATTTTAAGCCCATTTTGGACTGTTGCAGATCTCCCAACCGAAATTATTGACTTCCCTATCTCACAAATGGGAAAACTAATGGTATTATTAACTTTCCTCTCACAAAGGGACCCACTAATGGTCAGAAAATTCATTTCTTTTGGTAAAGAATCTATCTCTCCGCACAGCACGGAGAGATGTTGGGCATCTCTCCGGGCTGCGCGGAGAGTTCATTTGGCACATTTTTTCAGTACCATCACCTTTCGAACCATCATTTCCATTTTCTCACGCAACTTCAAATTCTTTCTTTCTTTCTTTTTATTTTTATTTTTTTTACCTTATAACAGTGAATATGCTTTTTAATGTTCATTTCTGTCCACTCATGTTCACATTGAACGAGTTATTTTGTGGAATATGTTTTTTTTGGAAGGTCATCCGGTTTCAATTGGAAGAAAACCGCACAACACGGAGACCACAATAAATGTTACTACAACTCTGTATGAATACCATTTCAACTTCTTATTTAGCTAATTTTCATCATTTATGAATGATTTATTATGTAATTTTAATGTTATGTCTAAGTCATTTTATTGAGAGAGGTAAAAGTGATCTTCACCTATTGCATTGCATTTCCTTAGCATTATGATCTATCGGGTAATATTTTTACTACTTTTTTTTCCCAATAAATTTTCTTTCTTGTTCAATGGTTACATATTAATATTTTGGTACATAGCACAATTATGAATTGTCAAACATTTGTAAACTTAGAAAGATTAGTATCATCCACATTAATTTCTTCCTTGGAAAAAAATTTGGTTAGCAAACACTTTTTAGTTGAATCTTAGTAGAATATTATCCTTATTAAATTTCACTAATGATTGTCAATTTCTATAAGATTTAGGTGAAAATTTAATGAATCCATTAATATTTTACACGTCAATATTACCTTAAAAATATTACAATCTGTGCATTGCACGAGGCGAGAATGTGGTGAGCATTATTCATTCAGGACATATTTATGTTTCTCTAGCTTACACTTGAATATCTCACTTCACTTCTGAAATCATTACTAATGGTCTTCCTATGCGTGTGTAGTGCTATTGTTTTGTATAATTTGAAATTTTACTTCAAAAATAATAATAATAATAAATAGTTGACGTCATACCACATAATTATTTTTTAAGAAAATGATGTAAATTATATTGAGAAAATTGTCCGAAAAAATAATAAACATTAATAAAATAATTATTTTTTTAAAAAAAGATGAGTTATACGTATTTTTTAACACACACGTTTGATGTACGTTTAACTATTTTCGATATACATTTGGATCATTCGACGTGTCTATGATATAATTCTCGAAATGAGCTTTGACAGAATATAGAAGATTTGTGTATTCGACTACTGTACAATTATCGATGAATTTTTAAAGTTATTTTGTTATCGAAATTCTAAATTTTTTAAATGATGTCACTTTTGATATTAAAAAAATTAAAAATTTATTAGGAAATTTTATAAATGACATCAAAAATTTTATTAGATTATTTAAAAAAATTAATTTATTGAGAGAAAAAAGTAACAATAAGAAAAGAAATTCCTAAAAATGATCGAATTTCTTTTATATATAAATTTTTTTCAGATGTTAAAATAATCAGGATGAAAAATTAGTTGCCCTCAATTTTGTGTTGCTATAATTAAAATGTATTTTCTGGGGATAGGATAAATGTTCCCTTGATACATAGATTAAAAACCCAAATTATTGAAACTCATAATTTATATATCAAACATTATTTTAGTCTAAGTGGTTATTTTACATATAAAGGACGTATTTGATGATAATTATATTCAATATAATTAAATCATATAATTAATTGAATATTTTTTTATTGTTCAATATTCAATCGATTTAATGAAAATTTTTTTATTTATGTGTAATATTATTTTATAGAAGATTCTGCGATTGAAAATAAAAGAGAGAAAAATGAAAAAAAAAAATTAATGGAGCCAAACACGAGTTGAGCCACAGTATAATTTTTTATCACTTAAATAGGGTTGAGATTTTTATTTAATCACCCAATTTTGATGTATTTGAATTTAATCCTCCAAAATTTATATACATCTAAAATATTTAATATCGTCGACTAAATTAATCCACATCTTTTCGACTGAGTATTAAAAATATTCAACATTGTGATGCTGGTGTTTTGTCTAATTTGAATTTTTACGTCCAAAAAAAATAGTTGACGTCATATCACATAATATTTTTTTTTTAAGAAAATGATATAAATTATATTGAAAAAATTGTCATGAAAAAATAACAAATATTAATAAAATAATTGATTTTTTAAAGAAAAAAAGACGAGTTATACACATTTTTTAACACACACGTTTGATGTACTTTTAACTATTTTCGATATTCATTTAGATAATTCGATATGTGTATAATATAGTTCTCGAAATGAGATTCAAGAGAATATATAAGATTTATGCATTCGACTACCGTACAATCATCAACATATATATATTACAATAAAAGAGTGAATATGGCGAGCACTATTCATTCAAGACGTATTTTGTGTTTTCCTATTTTACCCTTGAATATCTCATAATGTCTCACTTCACTTCTGAAATCACTACTAATGGTCTTCCTACGAGTGAGTGATGCTATTGTTTTGCTTGATTTGAATTTTTACGTCCAAAAAAAAAATAGTTCACATCATACCACATAATATTTTTTTTAATAAAATGATATAAATTATATTGCGAAAATTGTTGCGAAAAAATAATAAATATTAATAAAATAATTAATATTTTTTTATAAGAGTTATACGCATTTTTTAATACATACGTTTAACTATTTTTGATAATCATTTAGATCATTCGATATGTCTATAATATGGTTCTCAAAATGAGTTTCGAGAAAATATATAAGATTTATGCATCCGACTACCGTACAATTGTTAATAAACTTTTAAAGTTAACTTATTAACGAAATTCCTAATTTTTTAAATGATGCCTCTTTTGACATTAAAAAAATTTAAAAACTTATTACAAAATAGATTCGTATAAAAAAAAATATCAAAGGAAAAAAATTTTATTGCGATACCTCCATACATCACAGAGCACATGGAGTAGTTTTGTTCCGTGTCACCAAGCATGAGAAACAATATATATATATTTTTTAAATGATGCTACGTGTCAATTTTTTTATATTGGGTGATCAATATTTTCTGTATCAATTTTTTTTTGTCTGGATGATTTATCTAGTTTTTTTATAAAAATCTACCATAAATTTTCTATGTTCTCTTGAAACTCATTTCGAAAACTATATTATAGACACATCGAATGATTTAAATGAATATTAAAAATAGTTAAACGTACATCAAACATGTACGTTAAAAAATACATCTAACTCATATTTTTTTCTTAAAAAAATCAATTATTTTATTAATGTTTATTATTTTATCGCGATAATTTTCTCAATATAATTTACATCATTTTCTTTAAAAAAAAAAATTATATGTATGACGTCAATTATTTTTCTTTTTAGATGTAAAAATTCCTAATAAAATTATTATCACTTTATAATTTATATGGGTTATAAATTGTTATAATATTTTTCCTACTTTTCTTCGTGCCTTTACGCAACAAGTAATCAAATTTGTAGATTTATTGAGAGAAATAAATAAATATTTTGACACGGTAATATTACCTAAAAAATTAAACTTAAAAAGTTATAGATTTTATGAAATATAAAATTTAAATGACATTCTTGACTTTGACAATTATAATCACATTTTTTTTAGCGACACTAAACAGTCACTATATCATTTCAGATAGTTACAAATTGAAGCAAAACTAATATCCTTGAAAAAGACCAAAAAAATAAAATAAAATGGAAATAAGGTAGCAAATTTTTGCTAGTCTCAACTACCTAACACCCACCCACCACTTTAATAGTAGTTGCAGCTTGAATTGAACAACCAATAATACCATAACAACCCCAATAATTGAAACTCATTTTTTGCTCATCATTTTAATTCAACACCAAATTAAGCCCTTGTTTGATCCTCATTCTTTGATAAAAATACATTTTTCAACAGTGTTTTGACATCATTTTCAGCACACATTTTTCAATAAATTAATATTACACACAAATCTAAAACTTTTCCTTATTATTTAACCACACATTTCACATCAATACACTATTCAAAAATTCATTCTATCCCCCAAAATGGGGCTCAAACAAGGGCTAAATTTTGAAACCCTTCAAATTATTGAACTATTTATTTTTTGACATGATACAAGAATTCTATAGAAATACGTGCTATTGCAACACGAGATCAGGATCAAGTCATTCACGAGTCCTTTCTTTACTTTTTTATGTCGAAATAACATATAGCCATTCGCTTGTCCTTTCTTTACTTTTTTTTGTCGAAATAACATAGTCATTCGCGTGTCCTTTCTTTACTTTTTTTATGTCGAAATACCATATGGTAGATACTAAGTTTATACTAAATATACATACAGATGTATGTAAGGGTCCATCCCCTAATCCTAGCTATTGAATGGACCATGTTAAATTGGAATATGCTACTTATACATAATGCGTTGTGCATACCCATGTCCGCCCCTTTACATGGAAAGAGACCTACATCGGATAAAATATTATTCGAAGTGGATCCCCTCACCATGTAAAGAAGATGGACGCCCTAATATACGTGTAGCATTACCTTGTCAAACATATCCTCTCCCTTGCTTGGCTATTTTCCAATACATGCATTGGAAATAAAGTAAAATTACTTTTTCAAGACTTAAGAAGTATCAACAAAACTTAATTCTATCGCCCAAGTTGAGATTTGTTGAACCGAACTTGCTATCCCAATACATTTTTCACACATCAGCACATCGTATGCATCTTCTCATCTACCAAGATGTAATGTGTCGATATATCAAAAATGCATTGAAAGATACGCCAAATGGACAAGAAGTTCAGAACATCAAATCTAGTTGCTTCCCTCACATGATAAAATAAATAAATGCTAATTGATGGGTTATTATAGAAATAATTAATGGAAACAAAATAATATCTTAACCTCAGTCATCAGTAGTGTCACATTCCACACAAGAACATGCACTCACTGAAACAGACATCATACCCACAACAACTTCTTGGTAACCAACATTAAATTATTACACTTGAAATCACAAAAACTATATCATAATTAATATTAAAAAAATATTACTAGTTCAAGCAAATTTTGAACTGGGTAGAAAGAGTGATAAAGGAAGAGGAGAAGAGGGGACAAAACAACTCCTCAAACAATAACTCTATCAACAGAGATTCTTTTCTCACCTATCACATTTGATAGTCCCACTCCCACACATAAGAAATTTATTATCAAGAAAATTAATACCATGTTTGGTATGCTTTACTAAATCGAACTTGAAAAGTCAAGTAGAGTACGGTCTAGTCGAATCTAACTTACCAAACACGGATTTAGAGATGGCATCCAAAGCAATTACAAGTCTTGGGAGTGAAAGAGCAATAACCAAAGGGCCTGTTTGGTATGTTACAATTGATGGCATAGCAACAAGGAGAAGGCAAACAGTAGCTTTTGGAGACGCCACCGCAGCAAGTGCAAAGTGAGCAAATCTGAAAACTCCCAAGCTTCCTCCGGGTCTCGTTCAACATCAACACCATCTCCGCCTTGCCCGGCTCGATTAGCGGCACCATCTCCACCGCCGTGACATTCTCTACAAACCCATTTGCCTGCAAAATCAAGAACCGTTTGAGAAAAAAAGAAGCACGGGATCAAGAACAAGATTTGTGGGTTCTATTATGAAATACTCACATTGATTTCATGGAGACTGGTGAGGAATAACAAAAGGGAGAAAACCCATAAAATCCCACTAACAACAGTAGAAGACATTTTTTCTATTTTGTGCTCAAATTCTTGGAAATGGTGGAGTTGTTGTGACTGAGAAGGAATGGGGTTTGGATCTTTCCTTTTATTTCAAAGAAATTTCAAATCTAACAAATAAAGTTGTTTGGAATGGAACGGATGGACTCATTAGTGTGGGGTTTAATGACAATCAGAAGATTTTAATTTTGGAACAAACATTTAAGAAAAAAAAAGAAAATTTCAATTTTTGGTGGGACAAATATGGAAATGACGAACTGGAAAAGAGGCAGACGAAGGCCCCCCGTTTTTGACTTTTAAGTCCATTTCCACTCCTTAATACTTAGTGTTAGTGTTTGTTTGGTAGAAATTTTAATAATTGATTTTTGATCGTTAGAAGTAAAGTGGGCCTCCATACAAGAGAAAAATTCAAAAATAATAACTGAAATACTGAAATAACAGTCAAAAAATTTATTTTAATTGATTTTTAAGGTCTACCAAACAAGCTCTTAAATCCCGTTCAAACTTTATTTGTTCAAAATTCATTGTTAATCACATATTTTTTAATTAAGTAATTTTACACATAAGTTCAAAATTTTTTACTTATTTTTAACCATATAGTCTTTAAAAATCACTATTTCAAAATACATTTTTCTCGAAAAATAGTTCTCAAATATATACATGAAAATTACAATAGGAAAATATAGAAATGGTTTTCAACCCATTGACACCATTACATCATCAACCCCAATCTTTTTTTGGATCGTGTGGTCGCTGATCTCTGCCAATATTTGACATGTTAGAAGAATAAGTGACTTTCTTCCCGACTTAGTTAGCTTATAAGCTCTGAGACCTACAATTGTGGGTACTTTGATCAACACAATTTGTAAATAGAAAATCACTTATTGGCTAAATCGAGCTATCCCCTACATCTCTCCTATCTATCTTTATATGGTGAATTTGACTAGCTTTGGCCTGAAGGAAAGAAGCCGCCATTATTGTCGTCATCATATTGTAGGAAGAGCAACCAGAGAGTCCAAATTGAGTTAAAAAGAAATGAATTTTGCAATCATGCATAGATGAGTTGTACTTGTTTCATTGATAGGAAGAGAGAGAATAAAAACACAACTATCCTATAGCTTGTAAAGTAAAAATTATAGTTTTTTTTACTTGTTTTGTAATGCTCCAAGCCTCCATCTCACCATCAACAAATGAAAAGGGAGTGAACCAAATCAAACAACTAGATTGAAGTGCACTCAAGTGATTTCTAAGCCGACTATGGTCTACGGTCTTCATAAGTTTAACTATTTAAAGCTCAATTTTTTATACACGATTAAGTCTCAAATACTGTAAATCAAAATGTCCGTTGAAGTAACCTTCTCATGTTTGATACTACAAGTAACATTCATAAATAGTAGCAAACCACTTTGAGTACTAGACTATTAGGATAAGCCAGTGAATCCTTTCCTGAGATTGACATTTTGAGCATGCAGTCAAAGTATATCTCCACTTAAACTTCAACTAACCAACATATTTTAACATGCTTATAAATACTACAAATGTTGTCCTACCCCTTTTTTCTCATTCATCCTAGTTATCATTTATTGGGAGTGGATAGATTATTTTATGGAATGGAATGACCATCTTAGTAAACATTTATGTGTCAGGTCTCTCAACTTTGATTTCGTTAAATTCGGTCCTTGCATTTTGACTTTTCTTTCAATTAATCCCTCAAGAACTACATTCAAGGTCCTTCAACTTTCAGTACCTCTACATTTTGACCCCAAGTTCATGGTCTTGTGCACTTTCAATCATTTTTTCTTATTTTGCATTATTCTCATTCAATTTAGAAATTTTTACCTACAAAAACTTTACACGTTTGTGAGTAGAAATCTGTTCATTTCATATTTTAGGCTTCCAACAGTGTATCAAAACACACTTGTTACTTCGCATACGAAATACATTGAACAGACCATGCTCTATTTTAAATGACTAGAGAATCAAGAAACCGAAGCTCATAAAACTCAAACATAAAGTAACTTTATATTTAACAAAAGATAAACAAACGATATTTGTTTAATTCATTTTGGATCCATCTCTACCTAGAGGTGCCAAATTGTTCACATGTGGAATTTCGAAATCAAGACAATAAGATGTCATATAAAAATATTAAGCATCAGCAATATTATCAATTAATAGAAGGAACCAAGTAACATACCTCTTCCAATGACAGATCCAGCACCTAAGAGCACCGACAACTGCATGTATTGGATCCGCTAGGAATAATTTTTTGGTGACAATGGATAAATTTTTTCGATAGTATATCTAGTAATTTCTTTTGTTTTCAAACATCTGTTGTCACTCGTTAGAACTTCCATTTCTAAATTGGAAGTCTTAAGAATGAATCTCTATGAAATAAATTTTATGTGTGATTATTTTAGTTCAACATTTTTTTACCATGACCAGTGCAATTGAGAGGATTCAAACTTTTGTGCTCTCCTTTGAATTATGAAAAGCTTGACCATTATGGTATTTCATGAACTTTAACGTTAATTATAATAGAATTATATATGTTTAGTTTCAAAAGTTTTAATGAAATTGGAAAGATTCGAACTTTTGCTTCCCTTCTGAATCATGCAAAACTTGGTGAATGTTAACATTAAATACAACAGAATTATGCCCCTCTTTGTCATCATTTAACAAATTAAATTGTTTGCTACAATAACATTCTCTAACACACATCAACATAATAAATTATTCTACATACAAACCAATAAAGTTTCTTTAAAATTCAACCACATATTCTCAAAAAAATACTAGTCAAAACTCTATAATTTCTCTCATAATAAGAGAAAACAGGCTCTATATATGTTTAATTTTAGCAAAGTAATAAATATATTTAGTTTTTATTGAGTTCGACGATCAACGGTCAACCGTGCTCACTTAAGATCCTGGATCCATCACTAATCTCATCTGCAAGATGCAAATGAAGCCGAAGTCGTCAGCAAATTTAAAGAAATCAAGTAAATGTTTTGATCCTATATAATAAATGTGATTTCAGAAGAGTTATAAATCAATCAAGGAGATGAGGAACAAGAGAGTTGATTATCTGAGGTCTATCAACTTTCAGATTTTGGTGTGTTCTACACCATATTTGGAAAATAGTCTGATTTTTTATGTGTGGTTACTACTTACTAGCTACCAAGGCCGGTCCTGGGCTGAGGCATTTGAGGCCTCAGCCTCAGGCCCAAAACCCTTAGGGGGCCCAATTTTGCTTCAATTTTTTTTTTTTTTTTTTTTTTGGGATAGTTTTGAATTTTGGATGTTATTTTAATTTTGTATTGTTTTCGTAAACTTGTAATGCTCAAATTTTTGAGTACATAATTGAAAATGTTATTAGATTTTTACGTAAATTTTTACGTTGATTTCGTCCGGGGGCCCAATTTACGGACCTCGCCTCGGGCCTCCATTATCACAGGACCGGCCCTGCTAGCTACTATATATAGGGTTGTCAATCACTAAGCCTTAATAGTAATACATTCTTCCATTTTCCATTAAGAAAAATAGAATGCGCTTACCTTTTATACCATAATCACTAAACCATATTTTTTCTCTCTTCGGATGCCCCCTTTTCATTTCCATTCCTACGATGATCAGACATCTATCGAAAAGGGCCATCTTAATAGTTGTCTCAAATGAAACATGTCCTTCCATTTTTTGTTTTGTACTGCTGATGTCGGGACACACTTGGCGAGGGATTACAACACCTAGAGAAACTCCTATAACAACTTTGTTGCATTAGAATGTAGGGCTGAACAAAACTATCGAACCGAGCAGTTATTCTTAAGTTAAATATCCAAACAAATATTTGAATCGAGAATCGACAAATTTAGCTCGGTTCTCGATTCTAGATCAAGAACCGAATAATAACTGAATTTCCTTAATTTTTTAATTAATTTATTTTAAATAAGCCGAATTATTTTATTTTTTCTTAATAAATTTGCTAACTAGTTAATTTAACTCACACCAAAAAAATATGATTTTTCTATTTCTAATTTTCAGTCCAAAGCCAACTTAATCAAATTGATCTAAATTTTATCCAAATTTGTAAATCTACTGTAGTGCCTTTTTACCATTCCAGAGAAATCGAATTGAAACTTAATAACGCCTCTTTTAATTATTGTAAGCTTGATATCTTCCTCTTCCTGTGATTTTAACAATTAAATCTATGAAAAACAGAACAAAGAGAGACGCAAAAAATACATAAAATTGGACTATGTTATTTTGTAAAACCTAAGATTGAACATATCATTAGTTGAATTAATGTAACTTTGTAAATATTAAAAAATTTAATTATAATACGGAACTTGAGAACCGAATGGAGCCGAACCAAATCCGAACTCGAACCTGAACGATTCCATAATTAAATTTGGATCCGACGGTTCCACTTACTAAATATCCTAAAATTTTGGGTCCGATTCAATTCTTGTTAAAATCAAATAGAACCGAACCATGTCCAACCCTATGAGAATGTACTTGAGATTTGCAGTTTCTCCAATGAGTCCTCCAAGTATTCTTAATGGTAAAGTTAGTCTTCCATCTATTCATAAATGCCATGTTAGTCCTCAAACTATCAAGAAATTCAAATCAGTCCTCCAAATTTTGAGGAATATCAAGATAGTACACTAACTTTCACTAAACATCAAGTTAATCCCCAAAAGATAAAATATATTTCGATGGTCCTCCAACTATTTAGAAACCCATAGCATCCCCAAGAGTTTTACTCCCACTTTTTACATGTTAGTGAAATCTTTATGCTCAATACTTTGATTTAAGTAGTCATTTATCTTTCTTGCATATGTATAAGATCAAATCCAATCGATTTCTAAAAAAGATTATTAATCCTTGATTTTTCGAGGAATCCTACCAAAAAAATTCAAGGTTCCAAACGGAATAGATAACAAAGCCACTTTGCCATCCACTATTACTAAATCACATGGGTTAAAGTAAAATCGCAAAGAGATCATTTGACTCCATTAGGTCCTCCCTTGGGACTGAATTTACATTTCATCATAGTTAGAGGACTATCTTGATGATATTGAGTATTTGAAGGATTGTCTTTACCTTTCTAGACAGAGAAATCACTAAGTTAACGCTTCAGAATAGTTGAAGGGTTTCTTTAATGTTTTAGAAATGTTGGAGGACAAAAGGCTTCTGTAAATTTTTGCCTTTTTTTTTTTTTTTCAAAAAATAGTAATTTTGATTTCTTTACGATTTACTTTGATGCACTAATTACGAATACTAAATGAAGTTGAAATATTGCATTCTTAATATCATTTTGAAATGTTCATGGACTAATTTTTCGTTTATTAACGATGTGTGAAATGGTCAAACATAGCAAAAATTACGACGTGTCAAAATAGGTTGTTCCAAGCTAGTATTTCTAGAATTTTGATAATATGCAAACTTTCAAAATTCGTCAACAATTATATGTTATTCAAATCTATAAATCGCCTATGTCATGTAGAACCTAATTTCAAGAACTACATTATAGTCATTTCAAATTGTCCAAACGGATATCGAAAATATTAAATATGCATCAAACTTATGTCTCAAAAAGATACGTTTAGATCATTGTTTCTTTAAAAAAATTCAATTATTTCATTAGTTTTTATTATTTTTGCACGATAAATTTTTCAATATAATTTATATCATTTTATTAGGAAATTTTACATAAAATACGACATCAAAAATTTTAGAATTGTTGCGGAATAAATGTAATTTACTTTAAATTTGAATTTCATTTACTTGTTGAATTAAATTTGAATTTTATTTCAATTAATTTACTTTCTACTTTCAATTTGATTTATTTGCTGTCAGCTGAGCACTTGTCAACAAAATGGTAAACAAAACTATACAACTAACAATATTCATTTAATAATATTGATAATGATATAATTATATGATGTCTTCAAAGTATCAAAATACATATTAACCTATTTTCATTAATATTCCCCCCCCCTCCCGACCCTTTTTAATTTTCGATCCCACAGAACGAAGTCTGGGTCCACCCCTGTTTGGGCCTCTAGTTACTTAGTGACATCATGATAGTCCTCCTAGTATTTGGAAATGTTAAGTTGATCACCTGACTATTTAATATCATTAATTTCATCCTTTAACAATTCACGAATATCATGTTTGTACTCAAACTAGTGAGAACATCAAGATAGTCCTCAAACTGTGCAAATATTTATTCGAAGAATCAAGTTAGTCCTCCAACTATTCAAAACCTTCATGTTAATGTGCCAACTATTCACAACCTCGACGTTGGTATTTCTACTATATGAAAATGTCTTATTAGTCCTTTAATTATTAACCAGCATCAAGTTAGTCCTTCAATCTTTCTAAAAACATCAATTTTATCCTCCAACTTATGAAAAGCATCAAGTTAGTCCTCCATCTATTTTGAAACGTGATGCTAGCCATCCAACTATTCGGTAACATCATGCTACTCTTCCAACTACTATGAAACGTCAAGTTAGTCCTCCAACTATTCCAAAGCATCACGTTACCCCAGAATTTAAATTTAGTCCTCCAATCATCCGAAAGTGAGCAAGTTTTGGGAGCCTTTCGCTGAAATTGGTGAAATCAAATCTGGATCCCCAACTAGATCTCATTTCTCGATTCCCCATTGGAGTCCCAGATAACAAGAATCCGATTTTGTTTAGGTTTCGTGATCTTTCAAATTCCCCAATCGCCGAGCTCTGAATTGGAATTCTCTCGTCAATTCAATCAAAATGCTGTTCTTAAAATCAAACCCGTTTCACAGTAGTTCTTTTTCTCTCTACCTTTTCCTCGCGTTTCTCCTCTTCCTTTTCTTTTCCCCGCTTGTGATTTTTGCTCAGGTATTTGTTTTTGTTTTTTTTTCTCTTTTCTATGTGTTCATATCTAGTTTTTGATGTATTGAGATATCTTGCTTTGGTTTTATGTATGAAATAATTAGGATTCTGGAAGGGAGGAATCAAATGCTGGAATAAAGGATCTGGGCAGACGAAGTAAAGTGAGTATACTCTTTTTATAAATAAATGTTTTAAACTGGCTATTTCGGAGTAAAAATAAACTGAAACCTTGGTTGAAGAATATTATAGATTGATAGCTAATTAGTAACTATGGATTTACTGTTATAGTTTGATGATAATTAATTTTTTTTAAATTTTGCTGAACAGATTTTTGTAGACAAAATAAAGACAGGTGTCGCAATAGATGAGATTGACCATGATTCCATTAATCTTGGTGTCGAGTTGGACTCTGGTCTTGGAGTTTTTGATGCTTTCTTTGCAAGTTTTTCCATGATTCTTGTCAGTGAGGTTAGTAAATTCATTTCTCTAGTATGATATGCTGCCAAATTTATCAATTTGAGCACTGTTAGTGGGCTTTTCTATGCTCTTGTTTTAATGGTTCTTGGCGTTTTCTAATATTTTGATCATAGTTTGAAGAGATAACGTTGTCTGCTTATTTAACTATTTTGGCCGGATTTTAAATTGTGGAGTACATACTTTGGCTTATAAAATCAATTTACTTTCAGGCAAAGAATTAACTCTGTTTGTTGGGAGCTTTCATCGGTTATTCCTTGAGTACTGTCTAATGGTGGTTTTCCTTTTAGATTGGAGACGAGACTTTTATAATAGCAGCTCTCATGGCAATGCGTCACCCCAAGTCAATTGTTCTATCTGGTGCACTAAGTGCCTTATTTGTGATGACAGTAAGTTAATTTCTTTTCTTGTTTCCTGAAATGAAGCATATTCTCGGTGTCCTGTGTTTTTGGTTCTCAAAACTGTTGTCTTGCGGATTATACTAAGGCTGGACTTGTTGCACATTTGAATTAGGTACTTTCGACTGGTCTTGGTAGGATTGTACCAAATTTAATATCAAGAAAGCATACAAACAGTGCAGCCACTGGTTGGTGATTTATTCTATTTTTTAGTAATTTACGCATAACATTTTTCCTTTCTTTTTTTATCACGTCTTTTTCTGAATAATACAATCAAATGAGTTGACATTTACTTGTAAAAGTATTATTTTTCTCAAACAATGAGAAACTTTTAAGCCCACGTTTGGCCCCCTCATTAAACTTTATCTCATTTTTCTCTCTCCTATTTTTAATTACACAATCTTTCATAAAATAATATTCCACGTAAACCGAAAACTTTTTTTCTTTTTCAACCACTCATTTTTCAAAAAAAAAAAAAAACACTATTCCACCCATTTTCACTTCAAAAAACGGGGGCTAAGTACATCTTTTGATGTTTGAAGGCATGAAGAGACTAAGTTCTCATGTCTAGTGGTGAATCACACATGGTATTTTAAATGCAGTATGATGGTGGTAACTTCCCACCCTAACTTTATCGGATTCTTCTACCAAAATAGTTGGTTCAACATATAATGCTTCTCAAACCCATATGATGCATTGACAGATAAACAGAATAAAGGAGAAGAGAAAGAGAAAGAGAAATAGAGAGAAGAAATAGAACGAAGAAAAGAGGAGGAGAAGGAGAAGAGAGAATTAAGCAGAAAAATTTAAGAACAGATAGGCAGAATTTGGGGACGGAAATCTGAAATATAATCTATAGCTTGAATACAGTGAAACTCTAGATTTTAAGGGAACTCTTATGCCCCATTTTGTTAGAATAGATTTTGTGAAAAGTGATTTTTTTGGAGAATTTGTTGTTAAAAAGGTGGAAAAATGTTTGGGCTTACAAAATTATTTATTGGGAGAATGAGTAGTTGAAAATTAGTTTTTAAAGAATGGGGCTTAATAAATACTACTAAACAAGATAAAATTCTAGTTAATCAAAATTCCAAACTATTAAAACCTGATCTAAATCAAACTTTATCTTTTAAATCCTGTTTATCCTAATATATGTTTAATTCTCCATCATGAATACTTTCCTAAGTTTACTCTTAAACTTCCCACAAACCAAATCAACAAGAAAATCGATGAAGGACAAAAGATAAACTCATCTCTTTTCAAAGTCACTTCATGTCAACCCCACACTCAGCTGTTTACTTCACACCACCCAGCTCAGCCCTTCCTTCCCCCACTTTCCATCGACTAACCTGAAATATCTGGTCCACTCCTAACATGACTCTGTCACCTGCTTCTCATGCAATTATCGGATGCTATTGCTGCAGGTGAAGACAGAACCTTGAAAAAACCGTCCTGAAGTAACAAAGAACTGATAGTTAGCAAGTTCGATAAGTTTTGAGGACTTTCAATTGAACTCAGATCTCAAACTAAGTTCTTAATAGCAAATGAAGAAAAGAAATTCAGTTCAAATCGTTTTAGTTGTTTCTCTTCAACAATATGCACAATAAATGAATTTAATTGTTTTACCATTTCATTTATTTCTTGCTAAAATAGTTAAAAGGAAAAGGAACTAATAGTTTCTATATTGAGATTTGAAAATGATTTGATGAAATTGAGATGTGGCGAATCAAGCAGGATGAGATCGAGACGGGTGGTGGTGGATGGAAGTATGGTCGTATTTTTGGAGGCCTGGCGATAGGTATAGTAGTGAGGAGGAACTCGAAGGTGGGTGGGTGAAGACAACACTGGCGAATGAGGATGAAGAAAACTGGAGAGTGTGGATGGAGAAGGCGGATGGGGTTAAATGAGGGAGAAATTATGTATGTATTTCAAGTAATTGAATCATATATGGTTACACAAATGTTCGATGTTTTAAGGATTGAGACTAAGAAGTACCTTCTTTAAAGCTATTGAGTAAAGTTCCTACCACTGCTTTACTCGAAAGTTTTTTATTGATTTGAAGGGCCTAGAGTTCCTGCCTCTTATAAGCTGACATTCTAAATTTGGGTTTTTCATCTGGTTGAAACTTGATTTGCTTGAAGCCCCTTCTTAGGGTGCTCGTGTACATTTCTGAGCTATAAAATGCAACAATTCTGTTATTACACAATCACGTGGCATATTGACAAATATCACTGCTTTTGTATAGTTTGAATATTCTTAATGAGAATCAAAGAACAAAGATCTGCTTTCCGGAATTACACATTTTTACTGCTTAACATTTATTCTGCTGTTGGATAGTCAAATTGGTTATGAAACTGAAAAGATGCCCTCTTGCAGTTCTTTATGCCTTTTTTGGGCTCCGGCTACTTTATATCGCTTGGAGATCGGATCCAAAATGCTCACAGAAAAAAGAAATGGAGGAAGTATGTTTTCCTAATTCTGAATGAGTTACATGTAGTTATCATATCCTGTGTCTTCTAATATGAAGGACCACCATTATATTTATTTTAGAGCTGAATTCAGTTCTTAGTCACTGTGTGCTTTTGTTTAATGCAGTAGTGGCACTAGGTCAGTGTTTTTCTGGAAGTGCCCAAGGCTTACAGCCTGAGATTTGCCTTATGAGGCATTCATTAGGAGTTTTAAAGCTTATATTTTGAATGTCCTGTTATCTGGCTTATACCTTAACTTACTGTTGGACACCTCAAGGTGTAAGCATTAAGGCAGCTGAGGCAAGCATTGTGTCTTCTGGCCTTTCGCAGTCTATTTCTGCTGCTAGTCTCAGCTTTAAATGGGGCATTCTTTAGGAGCCTTAGAACTTATGTTTACGTAGACCCTATCATAAGACTTACGTCTTAAATTACTAAGGCGCGCACTTCAAAACTTTGAGCATTATGGCAGCTGAGGTGAGCATTGTATAGTCTGCCCTTTTGTGGTGTATTTTTTCACCTAGTTTTGACTTTTTAAGGATTTTGACATGTTTTACACATGGACCAACCTTGAAAGCTAAAACGAAAATTTGGATTTTAGAGAAGAAAAAATGGCCGGTGCTTGCCCAACCTTCTAGTACAATTGAAGTGCGTCTCCCAAGTGAAATTGCAACTTTTCAGTAGGTTACTAGTGACATGAGACCTGTAACGCGCAGTGTTGCGTATTGTTTCTTTTATATTTTTCTTGTGTGGTAACTTTGTTTTGCTTGTGAATGTGTCTTGTTAGTTTTATGTTCGTGTAAACTTATCTTGGAAAAGGGAATTTAGAAAATGCGCTTATTTTGATTCAAGGATTAGAATTCTCTCTCTCTCTCTCTCTCTCTCGATCAATCTATCGAGTCTCAATACTTCCCTTTTCAGTGTCTGACCCCATCTTGTTTGCCTTGGAATCTCTCGTATGCTGCATGGATCAACTCAAACCCCTATCCCCCTCTTGCCCTTTTTATTACTTGCTGTCAAAACGGCCTGATACGATGACGTCAGGTAGAAGAGAAACTTGAAACTGGACAAGGGAAAACAACATTTCGACGTTTCTTTTCTAGATTCTGCACACCAATCTATTTGGAGGTATATCTTACTTTTACGCACTTGAAGTCACATTCACATTTCATTGTTACTGTGCTTTTTTTCAAGCTGATAAAATTCGGTGGAATCCAGAACATCTGGAAATTAAATTGCAAATGTCTAATCAGCTTTTATTCTTCCAACAATCTTTATGTGCAGTCATTTATTTTGACATTTCTAGCTGAGTGGGGAGATCGTAGCCAGATTGCAACAATTGCTGTAAGAATTTTTCATATCCCCCCCAACCCCCAACCCCCCTCTTTCTGAAGCTCCTTTGGGTTATGAATATGTGGATGATCTTGAGCAAATTCAACTTGTAAAGTGGTCATCGATCCTTTTCTCCATTTCTTTTCTCCCATTTCTTGTCAAATCACAGCCAAATGTTTAGATTTACTCAGGCATATTTCAATTGCTAAATTATAAATTTGAATTTTTAGAGAAGTTAAGTTGACATGAGGGCTCTTTGTTAAAGACAAAATTTAAACAAATGAATGTATCCTTTAAGAATTTAGTCGAGGTGCTTCAACATGGTATCAGGAGAGGAGAGATCCTGAGTGCAAGTTGTGTCACATCCATAAATGAAAATTGTGCACGTGTTGATAAAAATTGAATCTCTGGCCTGCATGTGAGGCGGTGCGTTGAAACTAAATTTAAATAAATGAGCCCCTTAACCAAAAGATTAAGCTTTTAGACATAGTAGTTCAACATAAATATATTACTTATTTTTACTTTTCTACAGTTAGCTACACACAAAAATGCAGTGGGAGTTGCTGTTGGAGCCATTATAGGACACACCATTTGTACATCATTAGCAGTTGTCGGTGGAAGCATGCTAGCATCAAAGATCTCACAGCGCACTGTTGCGACTGTTGGGGGGTTGCTTTTCCTCGGTTTCTCCCTGTCTTCGTACTTCTATCCTCCTCTATAACCACGGGATGCTGTATGTTAATCTGATTGTTTTAAGAAATGGTGGCTACCCGTTTAACTTGTATTCCTCACCATTACCAGAAAAGGTTAATATTGACACTGTTTAATAGCAGATCTTTACCCTATTATTTTTGTACGTATTACTATACAGAAATATGTTACACGTTTGTTTGTCTGGAGAATGTTAAATCTTGATTGTCGATAGCTTGAATGTACATAATGGATTGTCATCCCAGTTTTGATGCACTATTTTGGGGAACTAATTAATTTTGTGATTGATGAATAGATAGATTTGTGATGATGGATGGTCTGTTGTTGCTAGTTCTTGTAAATATTCTGCAAGTAGTTCTATTTCTATAGTACATATTCAATAATATCTTAGAAGAGGAATGCTACATATACATAATTATTTACAGATTGATGTACAGATAGATGACATGACAGTATATTAAAATTTAATTAATTTTCTTCTTTCATTCTCTCTCTTCCAAACTTTTTTTTCTCTTTTTCTGCACATGAATTTGTAAACAATCATGTACAAGTAGCATTACTTTTCTCAGAATCATGTATGTATCCATAAAGAGCGAGCCTCTCCAGATCATTAATATGTATCTATCTATCCTTTTCATTCGAGGAGTGCCCCTTGTGTATCTTGGCTACTCTTTTTTTTTTTTTTTGTAAAGAATTAGAAAATTTCTTGATTCAATCTGACCTACACAAAGCTAGGAAAGTACCAACAAGAAATCTACCCTTATTGTTGGAAGCTAATAATGACTTTTACAGCTAAAGATTTTTAAAATAGTTAAAATTTTTACTGATATCTTCAAACTCATGTCATAGAGCATGCCTTTAATCCCAACACGCATCCATCCGCCTTGCCAAGTATAAACCAATTAGCGGCATCAATCAACATTGTCTTGCTTCCAGCGACAGGGTGGAGGTTCGAATTCTGGTGGAAACCTGCGGCCAGATTTATTTGGTATGGAGCAATCAATTTGGAGGAGGATTTCTTGTGCGCGGAAGTGTACAGGCGGTGGGAGGAACTTGTGATCCAATTGAGGCATAATCCGCGATTTACCCCCTCCAAGGTTTTAGGTGCAAGAGTCTTGGGGGTCCAAAATTTAGTCTAGTGTAAGTTGGGATACCTGGATATCAAAAAAAAAAAAAAAAGTATAAACCAATTTGCAATCTTTGTCTGGTCCCAAAAGTAATGGAATTTGTCTTGTCTAAATTTAATGGGAAACTAGTTTTAAATTGGTGAAAACTTAGTCATGAAAATCCAAAAAGCAAGTCACAGATTCATGACCAACCCAGATAATGTTGCACTTCTGAAGTTCTAAAAATACCAAGTTTGCTAAAAGAGATGAGAATTCTCCAATCCAAACTGCACTTAGTATCGTGTGATAACTAGAGTAACGTCTACCCTTTAGCAAGCATCCTTACCAAAGCTCTCTCTTATGCACATTTTATCCGACTGAGAAGCAAGCTCAAATTGGTTTCAACAAACACCATGCTCTTGAGGGGACGTTTTGAAGTACATAATGCAAATGATACTGAGAAAATCAAAGACGACGAAAAGTAAAAAAATAAGTAAAATTGATTTAGCTAAGCTCCAGAATGGATCATAATGAAAAGTAAGAAAATAGAAAGTATAGAATGTATAGATAAGAATTTGTTGCAAAAATTGATTGTATTATAAATAAAGATATTTTTCTTGTACTAGTGAAATTAATTCTTTTCTGATTATTTTCTTATATAAAATTGATATTATTCCCAATTATCTACTTCCATCAACGTGAAAATAGCATAATGTACTTAACTTGAAAACTTATCGAGTGCAACTATTCAATTTAAACGCACATTCACCACTATCAAGTGAAAAGTCATTTTAAAACTCAAAATAATCTTCTCCAACTCAGTTCGAAAACAATTTTTTTTCATTTAGTAACGTGATCGTACAAATCTCTCCCAATAAAGATAATTGACCAGAGATTGTCTCCCTAACTTCTACGAGCACTTCAATTAAACCAAATTCAATGCTCATTTCTTCTAACATTTTTTTTTCCTTTTCCTTTGGCTAGTATACCAAAGTTATTATGCCCCGTTTGGCCCCTGTTAAAACTTATCAATTTAATTTTAATTTTTCACTCTCCTATTTTCAATCACACAATTTTCAATAAAATAATATTTTACGCAAATCGAAAACTTTTCATTCTTTTACAACCATCAATTGTTTTAAAAAAAATACTATTCCCTGCATTATAAATCCAAATAATGGGGTCAAACGGGAGCTATCTAGGGTTCCCTAATTTTTAGTTTTTTCTCCTATTAAGATGGCATTTGTTATATATTTTTTGTATGAATAATGTTATTTGCAGTCGCTCACTACCACAGTCGTCTTACATGGTATACATGTGACGATTAGTGATTTGATACATGAAGCAATTAAAAAAATTACCACATCAATGTATCAAATTACTATTCGCTGCATATATGCCACGAGGATGATAATGACAATGAGCAGTTGCAAATAAGATTACTCTTCTTGCATAAATGTTAATATATATACTTAGCTTATTCAAGCCCCATTAAAATGTTAAAAATGTATTTTTTTGAATAGTAAATTAATGGAAAATATGTGGTTAAACAATAAGAAAAATTTTAAATTTACATGCTATATTATTTTATTAAAAAATGTGTGGTTGAAAAGAAGAAAGCAAAAATGTATTTTATTAAAAAAAAAATGGGAATCAACAAACAAGGTGTCAGGGACCGCAGCTTTACTTAGCCCCTTGACATTATCTCAGTCACAGTTTACTCAACTTCGGCTGCACGTTGTAAATATTACTTCAAGTTTGAGTTGTAATTTTCTTTTTATCATAATAGTTATTTCAGTTGTAAAATAGCTCTGATATTAGTAAATGTTTAATATGATTCCTTGTTTTTTAAACATCTACTCCTCTCACTTAGATTTTTGTTCAGAATCCTATTATAGGGGGTATTAGTCATTCAAAAATCTTTCAAACTCACTGGTATCCGTCCCCTGTACCAGCAATTGTAATTTTCTGTTTTCGTCAATTGTAATGTTCAGTTTTCATCAATCAATGTTCAATTTACTTTCAATGTATTCAAATTCTCTATTATAAGCTTTCTACAAAATTGTAATCAAATTTTCTTTCGTCCCGACGTAACCAAGAAAAGGCGGAAGGTAGTCTAGCGGAGCAGACTACTGCCGAACGGTGTCCCTTTCTGTGCCAAGAGGAAAGGCACCCCGTGAAAGTTGGTATCAGAGCTACGGCTCGCAACCCTCGATAAGAAAGCTATGGATCCAATTACATCACACACCACTGAAGTGGAAGAGCCTCAAAAGAAGAGTACTACTAAACAGCGCGTTGATGCGCTTGATGAGACAACTACTATGTTGTGTTATGCCCCGGACAGTCTCGAGGAAATAGTTGAGATGGCCGAATCTGAGATTCGTGGATTACACATCCAATTGGATGAAAGC